AAGTTAGAGAAAAAAAAAGGAATAGAGATGAACTCTAATCATATGAAAAAATTATAATCTTGAGACAGATTGGTTGCAAATCTATACATTTTTCTGAAATCATTGTCAGAAATTTTCAAAAAGGAGCTGATGAACATTACTAAATTAATTATGACTACTCATAAGTAATTAATTCAATATATAGAATATAGATCTTCAATTTTACATTGTTACAAAGTAAAATACATTGGTGATTATTTTTTTCTGTTAGCATCAAAACATCATAATTGAACTAAGAGGAAACATAATCGTTTGTAGACCTAAACGCAAATAGGTGGTCAACAAGTGGCTGCCACAAAATTAGCACTGGAGGAGAAATGTAATTAATTTTTGTTTATAATTAAGTTGCAAGGACAGTGGAGATGCAATTTGATTATAATTCAGTACTTCTATTAGAGCTTTTATTTTGAACTTAGCAATCATAATAGTTTAAGAAATTCTCTGACGCAGTAGAACAAAAGAATGTTTTTAATATGGGTTGAATACAATATATGCTGAAAAGTAACAACGTGGAGTGGAATTGTATTTCAAAAAAATGCAAAATAAGTAGCACCTTTATTTGAGAAATTAATCTAAATTCTATGACATGACGTATGATTCGTGCATCTTTACAAGAGCCTTCATAACAAATAGGCCATATTCACCATAAAAAAGGAAATTAATTAGTCAAATTTTAGATTTTAAGATAGACTTGTGGGAGTATCTGACTGTACAATTCGTATGTGAGACAGAAAATACTGACAATTAGAAATAAAACCACATAATCAGCACTTTTGATACAATCTTATGCAACTTTTGCTGGGAATAAAAATAGTTTGGGAGAACAACTAGATCATGTTGGATCTATAAGTTATGTATTAAAATTATGTATTATATTTTACTTTGATTCTCTCAATATCAAACAATGGTAATATACTAAATAGAGCAGTACAAGTGAAATAAGTTTGACACATTTTTTACCATAAATGAATTATAAGTAGAACAATCGATTTGATATTTGGGAACTCAAGATTTCATTATTGAGCAATGAAGTTTCACAAGGAGAGCCATCCGAACATTTGAAGCCTTCTAAACAACAAATTATGATATTTGAAAATAGGCCCATAATATCAATAGAAATAGGAAGAAACATATCATATCCAGTACGACTACACCACTCACGCAATCAGTCACTTCCAGTTTAGCCACAACTTAATGTGTATATGGTTGGCTTTTCAAGATTCAAAATATAATGTGTTTCAAATATTAGAAGTTTCAAAAAAAATCTATGAGTTTATACTCATAGATTTTAAATAGGGATTAAAATTTTAGTGCAATTTGCAAATCTTTAATCTACATATATAAAATGAAGCATGCAACACAATTAAAACGTATGATTAGTCTATATTTCCACATTCTTTGCAAGGTTCTCAAGAATATAACCAGACATTATTAGTAGGAAAGAATAAGACAAAATTACCACGCTGTAGAACAAAAGGGAACTGGAGAAAAATATACTAGAGGGTTCCCCCATTATCAACAGTTTACATAATATTTTAGTGTTTTTTGCAAGACATCACATAAGGCATATTGATCAAATTTGTAGCAAAAGTATTGGGCAAGCTCCAATTTTAATCGCAAGAATGTGAAACTAACATCTTGTATTATTAGATGACAAGTAAGAGCCTCAAATATGTGAGCAAGCATGTAGTATTAGCATTCATTCATTTGAAAAGTAAGTATAGTTTTGCTCCAGCGTTGGTAAGAGAGATAACTTAATATGAATCTCTTATATCTAATGTCTTGCGCACACTAAATGCAATATGTAAAGGACAAATTCAATAAACTCCAGATAAACAACTGGAGCATAACATGTTGAGAAAAGCACTGATGGTTCTTAAATAATTGATTTAAATTTGGAATTCATTTAAAGCAATAGATGCTCCAGCATACCATCAAGCACATAAGGTATAATTAACAGCATTTCTAGTACACAATTACAAGATGAATTGCGCCTCTTAAAGGTAATTAGAAAGCTGACAGTTCAGTGCCTCTTGTTAATTGTTTGTTAGTGTTGCAGTATCTCAAGTTCAACACTTAAGATTGTCATTTGGTTAATTAAGTTCCAACGACACAATTTAAGCATTAAATGAGAATACTTACTATATTATTCAATTATGCATTAAAGTTTATAAGGAGTAGTCTATAATAATAAATTCTTAAATAAAATTAATTCATATTCAAACATCAAACGGACAATTTAAGATTAATACTTAGCCTAAGAACCTTTCATAGGCAATTGACAAATATTCAAACCAATTATTTAAATATTTATTGCAGCTTAACTTAATAGTTTTATTATTTTGATACTAAAATTGGTTTTTTAATATATACGCCAATTTGCCTACTCTCAGTATTTCTATCATAGTTAAGTAGAATGGGCAAGGTAGTTGAAGGTTCAAAATCACAGCATACTTAGAAAGATGCTTAATCAGTGCAATTAACCATATGTAATATAATGGGGTAGAGTAGGACAAAGATGAAAAAGTAGTTGGAAGATTAATGCACATGAAAACAGGTTTATAAATTTTAGTAGTGCTGTTATGCACAAGTTTTAAGTAGGATTCATTAAGTACATTATATTTTAGAAGTAAGATGAATTGATTTGTCCAAATGATATTCTGAATAGTTCCTCTAAAGAAAGTTTAAAAACATACGATAAATAGAACATTAAGTATGGATCTATAGAATAGCCATGCAATAATTGAATAAATAAAATTACGAGGTATTCAAATTATATAAAGCTCTATCAATACTATATGTAGAATTGGTGGGATTTTGGATATAGATTAACTTTAGCCAAGCGACTCATCTGATGG